CCCCCATTTTGCATTTTGAAATGCTCCCGATTTCTGAGGTCTCAAGGTTGGCAAGTGTGGGTTTATCCCAATGAATAAAAATGTCTATATATTCACGATTATAATTTGTACGGTTCTATACAGATCCCATAACGTCATTTTAACATCTATTAAACAGAAAAAACTGTCACTCAAAATACTGGCATCCACTACGCTATTGTTAACGTTAGAAATGGTTTTGATCCGAAGGCAAATCTCTTGGCTTACAACACAATCAGTGCCTCCAGAGTAAACAGTGCTAAGGGTTTTAGTCTCTCTCAAAGTATTCTGTATGATGAAAGAAAAAACAAACAATGGAACCACAACGCCGATTGGAGACATCCACTTTTAAACTAGGAAATGCTTTTCATTTTTGTTCAACATAAACAATACCACTGGTGTGGTAAAGAGGCACCCAGTTGTCTTGATTAGTGCTCTTAATGTTTGTTTTCTGTGATGATGCCTCTGCAGGATTTGTTTTTAAAGTTCAAATAGTGGTGGGAATAGCTATCGCTGTCTCTATCTGCTGTTCTATAAGGAGAATGTATTTCTGTATTTCTCCTGAAATAATGGGGCAAGTCTTTGGAGGCTGATTACAGAAACACGTTTTCTCAAATTGTTGATGAGAAAGTTTTTATTATAACACGATCACAGGCAGATAATCTTCCCGCTATATCTCTGATGTCCTGATGTGTTTTTCTTCTGCTCCTCATTACACCAGAGATGGCTGTTAGTCATAACAATGTCACTGCAATGGCACTGTAATTAACAAGATGAATATTATGAGCCCCCGCCTTGTTTTCTTTCTAGACACCCTTTATATTTTTCACTTTCTTTTTCTCTTTTTGTAATCTCCTTTCTACACATCTTATTGTTACGTTTTCTCTTCCATCCATCCTTTTATTCAGGAGATATGTTTATTTATTTCCTTTCCATTTCCCTTTCCCCCCTTTCTCTTTACCCAGTCTTAGTCTCTGCTCCACCCTTTCTTCCTTTCTCTCATCTCCAAGTTTTTCCCCCTTTTGTGGCTCGGTGACAGATGCCTAATTGAATGATGAATGGCCCTTTATTATGCTCTAATTGAACTGCAGGCTCTCTGATTGGCTGACACTTGTGCAGCTGGGCTCGTCTGATTGGTTGGACAGATTATGCCGTCCAGGGGTGGGTTGCTGGTTGGATGAGTGCGAGTGGCGGCTGGCAGGAGTGTTAGCCCTACTCTCCATCTGTCTCCTCACACACACACACACACACACACACACACACACACACACACACACACACACACACACACACACAGAAACACACACACACACAACAGACACGCATTAAGACAGAAGCCTCACCAGCCTCCACACATTCCTCACTATCTCAGCCCTCACTCTCTCTCCTCCTTTTCCTGCTGCATCCACTTTTCCAGTCGAGCAGGCCGGCGGTAAGCACAAGCAGACTTAATCATGCACTGCCAGAATTAAAAGTCATTCCTCAGAGCCAGGCTGCCGGCACGAAAATAAGAAAATCAATCCGGCGCTTGGCAGGGCTGCCCATACTCACCGACTACGGGTCTTTTCAGTTCTCATTTGTAGGGGCCTTGGAGCTGAAGGGCCCTGAGCGGCCAGGCTTTATGATCATTCATTGTAATTTACCAATAACGCCATGTCCCGGTATCATTACCGGCCAACCGTGAATGATTAATTCCCTAATTCTGCCTGAATTTCTTCTTGGATTCAGGTCCAGAGGGCTATAGGGGAGGATGTATCTGTGTTATCTTTGGTCAAATGAGCTCACTTATAAAGATATTCTTTAAGCAGGGAAGCAATTCATTTTCATTTAGCTATAAAAGATAATAGCTAAATGCTATGGCTTCTAATTGATTTAACTTTTTAAAATCCAAATCATCAGTAAGGATGAAGGATGTTTAAGCTATGAGATAATTGAGACACATTGTGGAAAAGTGGATATATTTAAATGTTTTAGCTACTCGTGTTACTTTGTATAATATGATGAACTTCTTATTATAATTGAACTCCGAGTGAGCAACAGAGAAAAGGGAAAAGGATGAGTTAACAAGGAAACATGTCAAATATCTCTTGACAATTTCTGTTTTTGTAATAACCAGGAAAGAGACCAATTCTGTCTTGATCTGTGTTAAGTGAGGCACATTTCATCATATCTGCTCTCAGCAATAAAACCAGGAGGACCTGTATCTCTCCACCTGCCTCACAATGCTCCTGCGTTCATTTTGCAGCCTGCTTTTATTAGCTAATGGAACTTAATATTTCATGAGCTATTAATGGAAACCCAGCTTGTAATTAGTACTGTGTCTGAGAAACACGGGCATGTATCTTCATTAGGCATAAGAGCAAGTCTTTTCATCTTCATTACAACCACTCCGCATCATTTTTCACTCTCTTATTACGCCTTTGTTTTTGATACCCGCTTGTCGCCGCATGCTCGTTATGCAGTGGGCGACAGGGGCAGGAACACAAAAACATGGCCGATGTTGAGTAACGATCCTGAAGGGACGCTCTCCCCTCTTTCTCTGTGATTAAGGTGCAGCTGATTTTCCTTTTTTCAAGTTTAATGTGAACTTATAATAATATGACGCCATTGAAACTTCTATTTCTTTATTCAGAGCGGGCAGTGGGTGGGTTTTCCCATCTTCACTCTGCTTTAAATTGACTGGCATACCCATTGTATATGTCCACGCTCAAATATAGCCTGATGAAATGAGAGGTATTAAGCAAATTGTGTTCGGATCATTCAGCACGTAAGCT